CTTGCCTGGAGGTGCTTCCCGTCGTGGAGGGAGCGGGCATCAGGTCAATTCCTCCTGAGCTCGCCCAGGTTGAGGGGCACGGGGGTGGCAGGCCGAGGCCCCGGGGCAGGTGGGCAGTGGGGGACGGGCTCCCGCAGCCTCTTGGTGATGATGGGAAGCGGCTGCTTCTCCCACTCACCCTGCAAGAGAAATGGGCACCGTGAGACCGTGTCAGGGTTTCAGGTACTTGGAGAACTCTGTGTTTCTCCCTACTTGTAAAAACATAATGATCTTTAATATTTAAAGTGGTTTTAGCCAAATCAGGATGTTTTCTTATGAGACATTGCTAATTATTTGTCTTGCAGAAGCACTTACGCATCCCCTTAGCGGCACAGACATCTGTGGTGCATCATGTTGCACAAACCCACCACGATTAGGGGAGTTTCCACCCTGGAAAGTGTTACCCACCGAATCAGAAGGATACAGCTCAAACCAGGGAGTCCCACCGACCCACCGTGCTCTCAGCCCAGCCCTGAAAAATGCTCTCTACCAGGTATTGGCAGGAAAGTTGGTTGGAGGCAACATTTGCAGTGTGCCAGCATGGATTTCATGTGTAAAGGGGAGGATGAGGTGCCCAAGGGAAGGGCTGTCACAGCGATCAGGGCTCAAGGTGACCACAGCCGGGCCCAAACCCCAGCTCCGTGCGTGCACAGGGGCACCTCGTCTTGGGGGATGCTCCCTGCGAGGAGTCAGTGCCAAGGGCTGAGCCCGCCGGGCAGGATCTAGCTCGGATGTGACGCGTTGGAGCGGGTTAGCGGCCGGGTGAGACGCAGGCAGGGGCTGCGAGGGCGAAGGGGGGCTTGGTCTGGGCTGAGCTCTGGTTCGGTGATGCAACGGTTTGGCTGCCGGCTGCGTGCTCATGCGGAAACGTCAGCGAGAGGCTGAGCTGCAGCGTGAGCAGGAGGAGGGAGGTCTGGAGAGGAGAGGTAGCACTGTGAGTCATCAGCTAGAAGATGAAAGTTGAATTTATGTTTTCAGATGAAATTCCTTGTTGTATGTCAAGAGAAATGGGCCAAAGCTTGTGCCGGTACCAGGAAAACCCTAGGGAAAGGTGGAGGGGGATGGAGTGTCCCTCTCAAAGCACATGGGGTGTGACCAGAGAGGGGGCAGCAGGGAAGCACCAGCTGGAGAAACGACTGTTTTCCTGTACCCTTATGGCTTAAGAGAGCAGTTAAGGATGTTTCGGGTGTGCCTGCTGCAGGGATCTGCTGGGGCAGTCTGCCCTGCCGACATCCCAAACTGTGCTAGCACCTCACCAGCACCCTGCTTTTGAGGTAGATCGAAGGTATTTGGAGTGTCTCGGTGGTTATTGTTTTCAGTGCTTTTGAGTGGAAATCTGAATGCAGAGTATGGAGTTTGCTGCAAGCCCTTGCAGGTGCCGGGGGCTCAGGGCAGCGACGTCCCTGCAGCCACTCACAAGTGTTACCTTCAGATTTTGCTCAATAATTAACATCACTCAGTCCTTCCAGAAAGCTCGTCAATTTTGGGATCGCTGAACTGCAAACACACGAGCTTAATTAGAAGCCGGTGCTTTTCTCTTGGCAGAAACAGTGTGGAATAAATGAGATGTCTTAAAATCGGGCTCGCTCTGAAAACACCAGCAAGGCAGAAGAGGCGCCTCGGCTCCTTCATCCTCACTGCCGGGCTTGTGACCCACTTGGTGCCGGTGTCGGCTCTGCTGGAGTCTCTTCCTGGCCGCTCCCCAGACCTCTCTGAAACCAAGCGAGTGGCTTGGGCCATAACTGAGAGGTTTAATTTGTAATTCTGCTGCTGCACAAAACTTCTGCGCCAGTTCTGTCCCGGCAGCGGGGCTCTGCATGGCCAAGATGTGCCGGGTCTCCAGTTCCAGGGAACTGGAAAGGTGTCTGCCCTCTCCAGAGCAGGCTTTGCCAGAGGGGTTTTACGGGGGCACAAAGCTGATGGCCTTCCCTGCAATCAGCTCGGCATCCTGGTAACGCTGCATCCAGAAATAATGCATCGCCTGAGTTCGTTACACTCATAAACAGTGTCGGGACGGTGATAGAGACCATCAGTGGTTTTAAATCTCCATCACTGTCATGGCTGGGCCTGTTTTTTCTTTAAAACTCTCACAGCACTTTATCCTTCACATTTTGCTGGGTCATCACGTTTGGAGGCTGCACAGATGCTGCATGTAATGAGCTCGTTCTGCTGGGACCTGATGTAATTTGCCAAAATCCTAAAATTCACCTCACAATTCTCCTTGGTTCTGGAGCTAGCCCTGCTTTAGCGCCCAGCGAAAGCACCCTCAAAATCACTTTATGCAAATGCATCTCCTAATTGAATCTGGCCAAGCACATCGGCAGCAGGCTTGTGCCGTATTAAGCACCAGCTTTGGGCTGGGCTCCTGCCGATGCTCCAGCTCCCAGCCGTGATCCCACCGGCTGCAGCCGGGTCCTGAGCACTGGAGACCTGACCCATCTCACTGGGCTCACCCTGGGGCACAGCTCTGCCCATGTGCTTTTTACCTACAGCCGGGAGTTTGGCTGTGAAGCTTCGATTGTGAAGCTGTACGTACCGGGAACCGGACGGCTGAGGACTTGTTGCAGTGCATCGAGATGGGAGCAAAGCCGTAGAGGGATTTCAGCACATCTCTGTTGAACGTGTTCCAGGGGACGGAGTAAAACTGCTGCGGGATGGAGACCTTTGGGCACGTGCAGACCTCCTCATCGTTAAACCTGGGGCAGGAGGAATACAACACTGAAACGCAGCGGAGATGTGCTGTCCCCTTTCAGCGCTGGATGTGTCTAATTCCTCCCTGCCTAAAGCTCAGCCTGGAACGGCTCCGACGTCAGCACTAGGAGCAGGGAGAGCCTAGAGCAGCTGGTACCTGTGAGGAAAGATTTGGGGCCAGCTGGACTGCCCGTGAGTAGGACACCCTGTACAAGGTCAGCATCTCGCCCCTCTCATCGTGGGAGAGCGAGCTGCAGCCCGCTTCTCTGGCAGGGGTGCTTGGCGGCTGCCTTGGGTTCTAAGAAGTATTTTGCACATAAGTACTTGGCCAGGCACTGACTCTTGCTGGGAAGTCCCTCCCTGGGAGTGCTCTCCCTTCCCGGCGGTTCTCACTACACCGCCACCCTTAAAGCCCTGGGTTTGGCTGCCAGGTCTGGGGGTAGGGGACGGCAGGACTGTGCTCCAGTGCACAGCCACGGCTCCTGGAGCCCACACTGTCCGAGTGTCCCTGTACAGTGCCTCAAACCCCTTTTTTTAAACTTTTTCCCAGTGTAACTAGCAAAGGGCTCTGCAGTGGTCCCTCTCCCCTCAGCACTGCCAAGCAGGGGCTCTGTACCTGTTCACGAGGTTGAAGTATCGGTGCAAGTAGCCCGGATCCACAGCGCTTTTGCACAGCTCCAGCTGTGTCTGGGGGTAGTAGTGCACGTAGTTCACGCACATCTCCTCCAGGATGCCAAACCCACCCTGCGGCACAGACACGGAGGGGCTGGCAGCGGGGTCCGGCTCTGCCTTGCCGGGGCTGCACAGGCACAAAGCTCACACCTGTACACACACACGTGCACGTATGCACACACAGACATGCACACACATATATGTATATGCACCCCTTCAGATGCACGGGATCAACCGCACTCCGCTCATCTGCCTATTCACCCTTTATGCAAGGACTGACTTTCAGGCTAGATCGTGTGGTTTACATTAAAATGCAGATTTCCTATAATCCCTCTGCTATATTTAGCTTTGTCCCTATCGCTGGTACCTCTGACAGGCTCTTTTTTTTGCTGCCTATGTAAGAAAATAACATGCACTGTCAAAAAATGCCACTTCTCTTTAATTACAATTAATCCCCGGTGGAACAGTTTGTGATGGGAATTAGAGTGACACACGCTACTTCTCAATTAGCACCTTGACATCCCTGCTGTAGGCAGCGGAGCCTGGTGGGTTCGCTTTTTCACCGCCCTCCCGATGGTTTCCTGCTGCGATTCAGCCCGGGTTCATGCCGATGCCCACTTTGTGGGTGTCCCCAGCCCTGGGGTGCCAACACGCCTGCCCCATGCTGGCAGGCGAGCTCACCCTCCCGTACTCACCACGGTGGCTCGGCTCCGGTCCTCCGTGTTGTACGTGCAGGTTGTGATGAGTTCGTCACCCTGGGGGGTTCAAACACAGACATGTAGGTGTGAGAGTGCACTTTCCCCTTTCCACTCAGCAAATTGGGGGTTTGGGAAGTTTTTAACGCAGCAAATCTCTGGAGTGGGTGCTGGGGTCCATGGGGACACCCCAGGGCACAGCCCTGGTATAGCTTCAATGGGTGCTGATGTCTGTGAACAGCCTCCTAGGGCACAGTGGCTCCTGGACATGCCCCCACTTTGCAGCCGTGTCCTTTCTCACCCGTACAGCCCCAGGGCACGCTCAGCCTCTGTTTTACCACCCACTCCCACCAC